GTTTCAACTTTAATCAGCGCGAAACCTCAAGGTTTCGTCTAGCAACTACAGGAACTAATAAGTTTGCATCTATTCGGCGTTACGGCACACGTCGGTGTTACGGCACACGTCAGGTGTTACGGCACACGTCAGGTGTTACGTCACACGTCGGGTGTTACGGCACACGTCGGGTGTTACGTCACACGTCAATTATGGCTTTTTGACGTATCATCACGTCTTTGAGTTACGTCTAATTGACGTTAGGATCAGTTACGGCACTAGCATATGTCTGCATCTATAGTACTGATGTAGATTTATTTTCTGCATAAATTTAATTAATTATTTACACAAATTTTCTAAAATTTTATAAGTATTTTGATACATGGTAGGAATACCTTGATTTAAGATTTGGCTTATAAAGTTAATTAGATAACTCGGCTTCTACTTCAAGCTTTGACATGAAAATCCTATGTTAAACCATAATATTTTTCCAGCGGAGAAAAAATTAAATAAATGAAGATTCGGTTATCTATAACTTAGGTGTATTGCATTAGAAATTTGCACATGCCATTTTCTAAATAATTTTTACAATTATATATTATGAAAGAGAAAAACTATTACATGATGCACCCAATATTACACTTATTTGTTCAAAATATTATTGAAGGTAGAATCAATGAAAATTTCAAGCATCTAAAATAACTTTCATTCAATAAGTTTTTGAACAATATTATTAATAATAATTTAATAAACCTTACAAATTGACATTAAAGACTTGAGATTTAATTTAATATTAAATAAAGATACGCATCTTCTATTAACATCTCGTAGAGTTCTCTTTTAACGACGTAATCGAATTGTTGGCTTGTACATACCAAAATCTAATTTAAGGGAATGTTATTGATAGTTTAAAAAAAAAAAAAAAAAATAGAAATACGTGGTTTGTCTAAAAGACGATCCTGGGAATTCGGCAACATTTTCAAATTTTAAATGAATTGACATGAAAGTTTCTTATAATTCTCTTAGCATGCATGCAAGCGAAGGATGGTTATAAGTGTGAGAAAACATCATAATGTGAAGATAATTAATGATATTTTTCTTGAACTCAAAGGTTATCAAAAGAAAATTGTAGAATTTATTGATAGTGATAAAGTATACGGTTAATATCCAAAATTTCAATATTTCAATATACTCAGATGACTTGGTCCCTTCGACCGATAGCTGCATATAAAGCATGTGCACTCTCTCTGCTTGACACCTTTTCGATCTGTTGACTTACGTAGTAAGTCAACTTGAATCACGTTTATATTTAAGACCATGCAAAATTAATTTTTCATTTTTCGTAACATGCGGTCAGAAATTTGGAATCTTTTTTTTTAAAAAAAATTGGACCATTGGGAAATTCCAAAAAATTAAGGTCACAATCAGGTGGCATCAGATAAATTTATGGAAAAAAAGTTAAATAACAAAATGGAATAATTGGCATGATAGAAATTTTTAAAAATAAGAATAAAATAATTTTGCATGGGCTAAAGTTATTATCAGTTTGTATATTCGTGAAAACTTGCTATGATATAATATATAATTTGTGTTATTTATTGAATAACAGTGATAATATGAGCTATTACAGAGATTTATTTGACTATATGATGCTATTGGCTTGTTATGGCCTGTATATTTAACTATTATAAAAACCGATTAATGAATAGAGCCAAATGAGCTGGTAACATCCCTAACTGTAATTATGCATTTTGAACAATTTTTGGATTTTGCAATTTTTGGACCCGGCCGAATATGAAACCAATTTATTTTATTTTTGTCGCCTTGTGTATTTGTTTTATTTTAAATTTCAATATTTAAAAATATAGATATAAAAATAGTTAAATGATAATGTACAAACAATAATAACGACCGTTAATTGACAATTTCATTATTTTGAATAATTTTTGGCCCATTCTTCAAGTGCTGGGCATGAAGTAAATTGGGCTAACCCTTTTAAGTATAGGAAAATAAGCAGAAAATAAAGGACTACACATCTCCTTTTGAATATATGAAAAGACAGATGCTTCAAATTTTCACACTTTGTTAAACTAGTTAATGGTCCACACTTGAGTTCGAGAAAATGTAATAAGTTTTAGGATACCAAAACTACAATTAAAAAATTTTAACACTTTCAACTGCGTTTGTTTGTGACCTAATAATTTCAGCAGCATCGTCAATCTGACTTTCATCGAAGCTACCAAGGCTGATAAATAATGTTTCCTATGTTAAAAAAATTTTTCAAAATGTAAATTTATTAACCCACGTGAAAATAGTATTAACATAAAGCAATTGTGTACCGCAAATTCTCGAAATAATGAGCATTGGCATTATTTCGAATTTTGTCATGAATTAAGCTTAATTCAGACCAAAATTTGGAATAACGCCCATGCCCACTATTTCGAGAATTTACGATATGGTATATAACTTTCTGAGCATGCCAAATTTGAGCAGATCCCAGCGAGTAAAGCCATGTATCCTTTGTAAGGTTTTGTTGAAACCATAGTAATTCATTCGTCTTAAAAGATCACTGATTTTCGGTTTTAACAAAAGTTCCAGAATATTGGTTTTTATGCCTCCCTTAGAATAGTCGTCAAGGTTTGAAGAATGAAACTTAAGATTAATCGCAAATCTCTGCAAATTGGTAAGTTTTTGAGCTAGCATCTTCAATAATACTGTAAGTATTAATTCAATGTTATTAAACAAGTTTGGATCGCTAGGTGGCTCCGAATTTGCCGAATTTGACGTGTTTGGTGAATATAAGACGTATAAGGTCTCCCAGATAATATTTAAATTTATATATCGAATAAAAGAAGGATAGTCAAACTTCTTATTTTCAATAAGAGGAAGTCTATATCTAATTGCATTAAGTTGTTGCAATTGATCATTATCAAAAAATGTGTCGTGATCACGATATAACTTACATCTCTATAAGGGATTGTACCACAGCATAGGAAACGCATTATCACACCATTGTCGATTAACTAAAACACAATTAAAATAAATACCATAATCACGCGCGTATTCATCGCCAAGCAACTTAAATATAACTTGTAAAATTTTGTTAGAAATATTTGTAGTCATTTTAATAATTTGATTAAATTTAAATTTGACAATATTTCTATCTTTGATCTGCAAAATACTATTTTCTTGTGCTGAAGTATCAGGTTAATAAAGTGGAGATGATGTCGTAATTTCACGTGGATTTATGTGCATTTCTATTTCTTGATTTGAGTGAGAAGTTTCATTATATTTAGTTAATGGCTTAGTAATGTTAGGGTTATTTAAAGATTCTTTAGAAATACGCTGACTTTTAACTTTAGCAGGGATAAATTTTTTTGGGTTTGGGTCAAAATCCCGACAAACAAAATTCCGACAGATCATAATCCCGACAAAAAAATCCCGACTATCAATATCAGTGTCGTAATAACTTTCATCAATAGATTTGGTTAAAATGGGAATCATATGCCAAAACCTAGTCATCACAAAAATAGTAAAGGCTGTACTGAAAAGTTCTGCATAAAGGTAAGTTGGTAGATTGACCACAAGTCCACCTACCCGGTAGGCACACATTGCTGACAGTTGCAATATGTCGAATAGTGCAGCCTGGTGATAAAGATATCGGAGAGTATTTTTATCATTATGAATTCTTCGTATGACACTAAAAAGCTTCTTGTAAAATATAAACTCGGCAATAATATAATAGCCTCTAAAAATCGGTACTGCTACTTCTCGTGCAAAAGAAATTGTTGGTATGTATGAACATTGTGTATCACAATATGATCCCTGGCATTTTATACAGTCTATAATGCTGGTGGATACTAAAATGACCATTTCTAAGACTCGTACTACCATAATGAAACAGTGAAACCATACAAATGCATGCTTTTTAAATGGCTTAAAGACTGAACTACATCTAAGATATGCGAGGTGCAGCACTCCTGGTTTAGCAATAAAATAGCAAAGAAGTCTAATAACCTCTATCTGATAATACATTCGTATAGATGAATAATCGGTGCACTTTGAAAAACTTACTGCGTTTGAGATATTACAGCCTGAGCTATTTGTATTTGGACAATTTGAACTTGCTACTACTTGAAAGAGCATAACTATTTCATTAACAAATATTGCTACATTTACGGAAAAAAGGAGTATTTCCCTCTTATTAATAGCACGGTTTACCACTGCACGGGAAAACGAGTCTGCAGTTAAGGCAAAACTTGCAGCAAGAAACCATGTTGAGGTGATGACTTCAAATCTAGTAAGATGAGTGATGTCTTCCATTAATTTAATTTATTAGAACTCTAATTTTTGAAATGAAGAGAAGAGATATGATTTATAAGTTTAAAGCGTGATATACTCTATGCATCAATGGTGGTTAAAAGTGACTCATTCGTCATTAAATATTAGGGTTTATTACACACAAGAATTTTAATTACTTCGAGTCACCAAGTACAGTTACTATATTTTTGCAGCACAACAAAGATATGGATTGCTAAATTTTTATTTCTGACTTTACACACGTGCATTTTTCTACTTTATTCAAATTGTCTTACAAAGATAATAATTGTGTTTGTTAATATTTAATATTTTTGTAGTATATAATTTTTTCAGCCTTTTGCGCTATGTAAGACTTGTTTGGTTTATTGTGTCCAGATAACACAGTGTTTATTATTTATCATTATCCGACATTTCATATGATCATGTGAATTTTTTTGCCATGATATTTTTTGCTAATCAGTTTTGCAAAACATCACGGAAAAAACTTCACATGGTCATATTAACTATCGGATAATGTACACTTATTGGCTGTTTCTAGTTTATTGAGCCCAAATAATACAATATAGCTGTTATTCATTATTGTGAATATCAAATCTAAAAACCACAATCGATAATCGAATCTTAACGCTAAACACATATCAATCTTTTTGTTTGCGTTTAGGATTATAGCGTCACCAACCTAAAAAATTTCACCATATTTGTCAGTTTTGAGTGTAATTTTGGTTAATTTATGTTACTCCTAACCTTAAATTTTGATTTAACCGATATAAAAATTTTTATGGCGATGACACTACAATTGTTAGCATTAGCCTCACATTGAACTACCCTAAATATTATAATAACGATAATAAATAATAGATTTACATAACGTCGCTAAGAACATAAAGTTAATTAGAGAATATAATTTACGCCATTTTATTATTTTGTTTAAATTTCAAAGATATTTAAACCTTTATTTTTATATTTTATAAAAGAAATAATTTATTCAACGCCGGGTAAATTACTCTCTCTCTCTCGATATGCAATATGCATAGGTATCCATTTTAAGCTATTACTACCTGATTGATGTCATTTTTTGCTCAACAAAATTGACATCAATCGGTAGCAATTAGCTTAAAATCAGATACTCAATTTGTACCCGATATGCAATCATTCTAATTGTGATGAAACCCTAGTCATAAGGTTCGAGTTAGGTTAGAGTTATGGTCAGGGTAAAATTGCTAATTATTCATATCTTCATGTTCTATGTAAGTTTGTTCTACACGTAAAAATACATTATATCGGTATATATTTACTTTATATTTTTAAATTCTTTAAAAAAAGATACTTAATTTAGAATTTTTGATTAAAAATTCAAAATTAAGTATCTTTTAAAAAACATAAATATATGTATTTTTATGTGAAGGACAAGTTTATTTATCGCTATTTGCAAAATGATAAAATCTGTAGGTCACTGCATGCCCGATTGCCCGATTCCAATCGATTGTACGTGATTGTTGCGATTTCTCAGCAACCATCTAATCAAATTCGGTGATTTTTTTTAAATTTGCATTTTATGAATCTATAGGGTTCAAATAAAAAAAATTCATTTAATTTAATCAGGTGATTACTGAGATATCATCGCTCGAAGTTCTTTTTTAAAAAATCGCAATGCTGCATTGTTTATCAAATAGAAGCTGCACCAAAATTTTCTTAAAACTTTAGGCGAAGAAATTTCAGCAACTACTTGAAAAATTCGATAAAAAATTTTTTGTTTGAATTCTATGGATACATAGAATTCAAAAGAAAAAATTTTTATCGAATTTGATCAGGTGGTTGCTGAGGTATCTTCGTTCAAAGTTTTTAAAAATATCGTCTAAGCTGCGCCAAAATTTTCCTAAAA